TCACCGAACAAGAGAATATTCCCCAGCTTTAAATCGCAGTGAGCGAATCCGTTCGCGTGGATGTGTCGTAGGCCTCTAAGCACCGATCCTGTGTGGCGGCGCACGGTGGATTCCGGTAGACCTTCACCGCCTAATTTTTTGAGATTAGTCGCCAAACTTCCTCTCGAAGCGTATTCCAGAAATACGTTATGCATCTCTTCGCCGTTTTCGACGGTCCGATCCACGCCGTAACACCGTACGATCTCGTCGCAATTGTCTCCGAGTTTATCCAGAACTGATTTCTCGTTCGCGAGTGAAGCAGCGCCGTATGAGTCTGCAGATTTGACGGCCATCAACGGAGGAAATTCGCCGGAAAGGTCATTAGACGGCGTCGCTAGACTGACTGTAGAAAAAGTTCCGTATCCGATTGTTTCTCCTCGAACCCACTCCATTGCTCCGACACGATTTCTTAAGGAATTTCGAAGAATTGGTTTTTGATTCAAATAAAATTATTCTTTGAAATCAAAACTGATTTAGGATTTGAATATTTAAGCGAGTAGATAGAAAAAGGAAACAGAGCAGTAAAGCTCGTGACGGTTAATGGTTCTTCCTGGTGCGAGGAGCTCCTCAATATATATATACTGAGTTTTTCATTTTCGTTTTTTGTATATAAAAAAAAAGTAAACAACTTGGGTTTACTCGGTTTTTTTTTATAATATAATTAAATTTGTAAAGTCTGAATTTTGGGGACGTAATTAATGCACGTGACGAGAGCCGATTTTTTCATTGTTGTGAACGAAACGAAAACTGAGCTACGTGATATTTTTTTTTTCATTATTAAATTAGTAACATACTTGATATTCAATGAGATAAATGATCGTTATTTTTGCTATAAGAGTAGCAGTTCATATTGAATTTGCGTTGAATATCAAAATGTGTAACTCATATAGGTTTCAGAACACTAAAACTAAATAATTCTTGCGTGAGATATTATTCAAAATATACGATAACGTATTACCAGAGATTGCAATGAGCATAGTAGACAAGTCTTGTAACGTGAATGTGTATATTTGAAGGGAAATTGTATGTTTTAGACGTTCAAATGGAAATATAGTTTAGTTATCAAAAAATGGAAATATAATTTTGAATAATGTGTATGTGTAAATAGTAGCATAGTATACAAGTCTTTATTCATATATATATTCCCGACCGTAGCTGTAATTTTTTAAAAGGAAAACAAGTGAATCAAAATGTATCATATACAGATAATATTCTTTTCTTTGTCGTTGCTCTGGACTCTCCTCTTTTCATATTTTGTGTTGTTAGTAGGGTTAGAATATAATTGTTCTCGCATATGCCACTCCTCGTATCTGTCACTACTTATAATCACACATTCAATACTAATAGTTCTCTAATCACACTGGTTTTTATATCGACATATATTATAGAACAAAATGGTATTTACACTTTTTGATTAATTACGTCGTCTATAATTCGTTGCAACTAATTCCTATTTAACAAAAAGATTCTTCATCAAAAATGTAGCAAGAAAACGATGCAATATCGATTAAAAATAGAAAATGATGCAAACACGATCTGATGAATGTTGTCAAATTAGATGTACATATAAACAGACTAATATAGTTAAAGTCATGGCCACCCAATTACGAACCAATATATATGCTTCGATCAATATCATTGCATACTATAAAACTATATGGCAAGTTGGCCTTGTAATTATCTTTTGGTGAATCCAAGCATCAAATCCTTCTCCTTTGGAGACGCTTTGACCCCCAAAAAGTTATTTTTTGATATTTTCCGCCGCAATGTCTCTTACTTATCGTTTACCAACTAATACAGTTATCTCTGAAATATCTAAGCGACCTTTGATTACAGGCACTAACTGCGTGAAGCCGCAAAATGGAATTTTAATTTTAGAGTTTCGGCCAGTTTCTGTTTCTTCTTTTAAACATACTAGTCCTAATTTGTTTTTCGTTCATAAATTCGACCTTTCTTTTAATTACAGACGAAAAAGAAAATAAAACTCTTTCACTAATTTGTAGCTTGTTCAACTACAAATAGTTTTTCGTGTTGAATATGAACTACTGATTCTGTAGTTGTTGTTTTTTTTGTGTGTGTAGAAAAATAGTTTAGTACTCACATGCTAGTTACTTTTTAATTTGTTAATAAGTTTACTCACATAGATTAACCATTTAGTTGCATGTTTTTTTGTTCATGTTAGTTCCATAATTTTATTTTGGTTGGTCAAATCTTTACCATTTTTCAGTAGTAACACACCGGATTGTGATGCTTACATATAAGCAACAACAACAACAAAAAACAACCTTCCAATTATCATTCTTCTTCTAATTTTCACATCTAATATTATTTTTTGTTTTGAACAAAAGTTTATCTAATATTATATTGCTCTTATGAAGTTGCTTCATGGACAACTTGTATGCCCAAGGTCTGGATTCCTATGGGCATGACTTCATAAAATAATAAATAAAAACATTAACGTTTTATATCCTTTGAATTTTATATTGCCAGTTTTTCATTATTTCATTTTTCATCCTTACTGATAATAAAATAAATAAAAACATGGCCAAGAAAAGCGCGGGAGTGGGAGAGAGTGCTTCGTACTGAAGTCACTTGACCCCCAACAGACTTTCGCAAGTTGCGGCGGCTCTGAATTTTATTGTTTTTCCAGTACACGAATAAATAATATTATACTCCGTATTCAATTAAATATAATTATTCCCTGTGATATTTTTGACGTTTTAACGGAGCCTGACGAACATCGAGACGCAGACAAGTCGAAGAAATAAAGGAGAGCTGTTTTTGTAAAGGGTGTGTAAATTGAAAGCATTAACAGTAGCCGTAACTCCGTTACCGTCACATGCTTACATGTTCCTTCATTTACTTCTCTCTCTCTCCCTTACCCAAAAAAAACATAACCTAAAAGTTAGAAGTTAGAAACAAAAAGGTGAAAAAGGGCGTCATATGAACCAATCATATACGGATATTAGTAATTTATTTTGTGGGAAACGGGAATATATTGTAAGAGAGGGTCACATGGACGTGATCCCTAGCCATTAGATTGGGTGGAGTTGCGATCTCTACGAGTCTGTCTACTACAAGTTGCTTTGGCTATTAAACATATAAATTACTAATTGTTAAAATATAGTCCGTTGGATATAATTTTGAATTCGTCACAAGAGGTCAGATGATTAAAGTAAATACCTATAACTTATGCAGAAAGAATTATAAACAAAAATAAAGATACATATCCAATTATTTATTTCTCTTAAATAACATATACTCCTATATTACTACTTACTATAGTATTGGATAACAGAGAAAAGTGAAGGAGATTTATGGATATGATGAACCAACACCGCCCAGGCTACTTGGAGGATTCACTGAATCCGAGGACGAGAGAGAGTTGTTATCCTTGTTATTCCCGAAATAATTAGGTAATTCAAAAAAGAAAACAAATACGGCGGCCCACCGTTTATTTCTTGGAGATTTTCATCGAACACTTTTGCATTTTTTAGTTTAACCAGCGCCCTTAACAACTTATTAGTTTTGTTAAATTATTGTATGTGGTACCACACCATATATTAAAAGATCTCAAAGTTGACATCATCTGTATTGTGTAGGAAGGTGCGTCTATACCTTTATTTCTCTATGAACTTTCCATTTTAAACGTCATTGAATAAAAAAAAAAAACAGTTCTTGAACTAATTCCTCAATATCCCATATATATGTACGTCACATAATATATATCATAGTATATGTCGATGAAACTGTGGCTCTAAGCAAAATTGTTACTAAATCTTTTGTAGAGGCAAAACAAAGAACATAAAGGAACATGTTTAATGAAACGACAATAGTTCAGTAATTCGTTGATTACTAGAGATTTATTTCTGTTGGACGTTTTCTCTTGTCACTGCAGATTTATCATCATCGCTTGAGTTCATACACACGACTAGTTTACGTTGGAATTCAACTTTCAATATCCAAGTGGATTTATCCTTGTAGACAAGTCAATTAGAGGTCCTTTGAAGATATCCACAATCCAAGTTTTGGAATATTCCGTGTAATTTGGAACTTTGGATTGACCCCTTTGAACGAGGAGAGGGCAACGTCAAATCACACCCTTTTGATCATTGCATAATCTTTTATTTTTTGTTTGTATAAAGGCAACAAAAAAAAATATATATATATAAATATAGGATTAGTCTTTTGTTAAATTCAAATTCAGGCCATCTGAAACCAAACGCATAATCAGCCGCCAGACGTAAGTTCATGCATTTCAATATAAACATGTTTCTTTTAATTTGAAGTTTTTAACTATAAAGTTTGGTCAAAGGCCATCATAAAACATACCAAATCCAAAATCCTTCTATTTGTCTTCCTAGTATGGAATTTTAAACGAAAAAGGCAAATGAAAAAAGCCGTCTCTTGACTATTATAGTATTATTCACGATAAGAAGAGTTTTTGTTACACGTGCGTTTAATGATTTGTGGTATTTTCATATTTTGTACCAATTTGCGTTCTCATCTTACTTAATACTACTTATCACGTGAAGATAAAAACAGCAACTCTCTTGTTCAGACAGGTCCATGACCCACGACCCAAATCCATTAGTTGGGCCAAAATAGCCCAATGCTATTCTATTCACGACCCACAACAACTAATGAAAACCACATTCGAACATATTTAAATTTGGGTAATTTCAACGAAAATTGGAAAGGCGATCACTCAGATAAATCCAAATACATGTGATTCCCACCGACGAAAACTCATGAAGTCCGTAATTACCATTTTTTTGTTTAATACAGTAGTTAGCTATAGCACTCAAATGATAATATCCGTGGTTTCATTAATTCAAACAAACGTAATTAATCACGGTTTACAGTAATAATACATCGAACAAAGCAACGAACACTACAAACAGAGGGTCCGTGGGTGCCAAATTACGAATATGCCCATGGATAGATCAAACTGTCGTCTTCTATCTCCGGCATCGAGTGATCGACGAGCAGCCTCGGCTGTACGGATGCACCGGACCTCTGGCTCTGAAGCAGTTGTGAGTGTAGTACGATCTTCCAGATCTGGGAGGACACGGGATTCGATTCGCCGATAATGCGCCGTACGAGATGTAGTATCTCTTCCTCTTCCAGTACAATGACCGTCGATCCGAGCCATCGACGTCGTCTTCCTCCGCATCTTCGAAGCTTTCTCCTCCGTCGATGTCGAATGCGTCCCCGTGAGAGATCGGCCAGTCGAATCCGTCGCCTAGAAGAATCATGGATGGATTTTCGGGGAGGGATTCAGATCTCGGTAGCGAAATGAAGAGAAGAGAGAGAGCGACGAAGAGATTCAGAAACTGAGCTGCCATGGCGATGCTGGAGACTAAAGCGAAGAAGACGAAGAAAATAAGAAGAGTAGTAGTAGTAACTTGTAAGTAATTCACATGCCAAGAGGTGATTGGGTTTTAGTTTACAGCTGTGAAACTTCGCTTTTTTGGGGGGGGTTCTAATTAATGCGCCATTTATGGACCTCGACCTTCGTGAGGGTTTTTGGGTGAGTGACGATGAGTAATCTGGTGGGGCACGGTGTAGGATAAGAGATGTGAGGATGACCTGTTGTGATACCGTTGGATCATTTTACGGTAGATTAATGGGCCGGGCTTTTTCTGATAGCTGGGTTCTTTTTCCTTTCGGACTGGCCTAATATCTCTTTTGGGTTCTGTTTTAATTATAAAAAACAATGAGCAAAAGCCAAAGTCCAGTTCACAACATTTACATTACTGTAGCTAGTGTTAAAACTCAAAACTCTAAACAAAAAATTCCTGATCATCTTACTACTTGATTTTAAAAAATGATGAAAGCTAACTTAAGTTTGTGCAATTGGGATCATTGCTTTAAATCATATCTTAGATATATTTTTAAAAAAAAATTCTTGACGTTCCGTGTCAAACAATTCAATCAGCCAAGACAGATATACAGCAAACAAAAAAAAAATTGTCTTTAAAAAAAAAAAAAAACGTCTCAGATTATTTAATGATGTTTTCTTCTTAAAAAACATCAACTGAAATATACAGAAGTTTTGCATGAACTGATAATGATCTTGAAACAAACATTGAAATTGAATAAATAAGAATACAGATGCTTAGCATGTTGAAAACAGCATATATAGACAACAACAAAAGAACACACAAGCCATGATGCTGAAAACATATCTCATTAATGCTTAAAATTATTCCATTAACAAAGATACGATGATAATACTTCCTAATTTACAACCCACTCCAAAACAATGGAGAGTCTGACATTAAAAGTTGAAAACCCAACACATCTAAACAGGAAATCAAAGTTAAAAGACTCTCACAGTTCCAATTTTTTATGTAAATTAATTTCAACTTCCCTAGAATCAATTTTTTCTTTCTCCGATATCAAATATAATAATTAAAAATCATCATCATCTAAGAATCTGTGCATTGCCCACCAGCTGATGAGTCCCCATTGCTCCACACCCTTTCATAACAACTCCACCGCCGCCACCACCACTCGCCGCCGCCGTCATTCCACCGCCTCCGATCAAAACCCTACCCCCTTGCCCTCCTCCGCCGTTAACCACAGCTTGCTCCTCCAACGACTGAACCTGTTTCTTGAGAAACTTCACATAATGAATAGCCTCGTCGAGCATCGAAGCTGTATCCATCTTGGTCCCACCAGGAACAAGCCGTTGCAAAATCCGAATCCTCTCGCTTATCCTCTCCCTCCGATGTCGAGCCGCCACACTCTGTGGATCTTTGGAGATCCTAACGTTCCTCCTCTTCGGTGGCTTAACCGCCTCGGGATCGATATGTATCGGTTGCATCACGGCGATTCGAAAGATCATCTCACGCATCGCCGCCATGTTCGTGTTATTGCTGTTGCTTCTTTTGTCGTGCAAAACGGAAGAGTAAGCTGTGTTGGAAGAGAGAGAAGAAGGGTTTGTGAGGAAACCGGAACTGTACCGGAAACCCGGTTCGTGTGTGACTGAGTCAGGATGGTTATGGTTTGAGCTGAAGAGAAAAGGGTAAGTGCTGCTGTTGTTGTTGTTGTTGTGGTCGAAGAAAGATGAGTTAGGGTTACAGAATTCAGGAAGCTTCTCCATTTGTTGCATCATCATGTTCATAATGTCAGAATCCATTGGAGAGAGATATGGAGAAGCTGTTGAGATAGGTATGGAGGGAAACTGATTAAAAGCTTACAGAAATGAAATTTAGAGGTTTTTCTTTTAGATGACTGATGATTGATGATGAGAGAAAGAGACGGTATGTGTGAGAAATGGCAATTGTACTACTGCCCAATCAGAACTCAAGTAATATTAGAACAAGGAGTGGAGGGATTTATATAGCAACTTGTGGCCCATCCTCTTCTTTTAACTTATACTACATTTATATAATTCTAAGAAAACTCTTCTTATTTTCAACTCTCACATTTATGTGTATACATGCATATATATATATATATGTGTGTAAATTCAGTATTAAAATTTGTCTTCTAGTCTCAGTGCAAAATTCCAATCTCTCACATGCATTCAAACGAACTTACTAAACGATACATATATATATATATATATATAGAAGCAAGCATGTTTTTACAAACCTTGAGATCACGAATTATGGATCTCAAAATAGAATATTGAAATTAAGATTTAAACGTTGACAATCGTCAATTAAACGAAAATTATTGATGCGAGAGAGTAATTCTATCGGCTGCTGACCTCTGTCAATATCATGATATTATTATATATGAAATCCATGAGGAATCAGTGTTTTTTATGTTCAAAAAAAGCAAGAGAAAACGCATATGAGAAGCCCAGATTATATATTATGGTGGGTTTAATTACTTTATGTTAATTAAACTGCATCTAGTGCTACTTCCCAACCATTTTTAAACGTAACTATAGATCGCAAAGATTTTGCTCGGTTGCTAAGAGAAGCTATGAAAAAGCGTGTAAATGTAGGAGTTGCTATAAGTAGAATTATCGCGTAATTTAACTTGCATGCAAAAATAAAAACAAATGAGAAAGACCCAATGAAGCAAGAAAAAAACGTTACTCCACATTTATGATTTACTAGGATCGTTAATGACCGTCGATCAGGTTCGTCTTTAACACGTGTCCTACATCTATTAGCTTAGATAGGCGATAAAACAAGGTGCATGAACCGCTCACCAGTCCAACAACGGGAATTCCATTTTCCACCATCATTATTTTATTTTTTTTGAACAAAAGTTTCCATTATTATTTTATTATACTCTTCTTCCTTGTTTCTCTATCAATTTCGTGGGTGAAAAAAGTCATTTGTTTTTTTCCCACCTCTGCTGGAGTTCAAAAGATCATCCTCTGATTTTGATGTATTAACAAAAAAATACTTTCTTCAATCCAAGAAAATTGATACTTACCAAAAAAAACCGTATAATAGAAAAGAGACTCCTGTAATTTATATCAGTTGGTTATACAATTACCCCACATCAACATGAGATATGTCAGAATCCAGGGAGCATTATTTTTATTTTGTAAAATTTTCTGGTTGCATATAAAATTAGACATTCATGCTCATAAAAACAAGGACTAATATATTTATATATATATATATATATATAAATGGTGGACGACCAATACATATTTATATCCTATAATAATAATGGTGGATGATTAAATCGGATCTCAATTGACATCGAACCTTAGCGTATGGCACGCTTCTCAAAGCTGATCAGAGAACGACTCAATTCCTTTTTATTTTAGTTTATTTTAATATTTACCTTTGTTGCTTACCGCCACTGACTTTCATTTTTGGCAAGTGCTTTTCAGTTTTTATATCAAATTTGACATTCTAAAAAACCAAAAAGAAAAAGAAAAACTGGTGAAATCGAAAAAGAAAAAAAATCGTCATCTGCAGCATCTGACAAGCCGATATCATTCCCAACAAAGAGGAGGGAAAATAAAAAGAGAAGAAATTACTAATTTGCAAAATGTCAGTTGTAAAAGAAATGACATAGGATATAATTAACTACGTGAGCTCAGTAGTTAATTTTATAAACAAAAATATAATAAAAAACTTTATTTAACAATAGAATTTTGTTTTTATTTTGTTACAAACAGTTTCCAGAATTTAGTTGTTTACTACTATTTGTAATATAAAAAAATACGTCACAAAATTTGCTTAGTCGTCTATAAACATCGGACCAGCACTCTTTAGCAGGCGTATTATGGTAGATCTGATTAGTTGTTTGATATCTAAACGGTCCCTCTGTAATTAAACAATAATGACGAAAAATAAGCTTCAAAAAATGTAACAGGAACCAGGATCTTGTTTAATTTATACAGATAGTAGTTAATGATTCTTACCTTAAAAATACACGAGTCCAAAAAGACGCCACAAGCTCTCACTGTTCTTTCAAGACCTGTCTCGCTTTATTTGTACAAAATCACAGTTTAAACACATTTAAGACTGGTTTTTGTTTTTCTTTATTTTTGTATATATAACTCTGATTGTTTTGGATGGTTCTTCCCCATAATTAGCTAAAAACAAGCAGACAAAGCAAGTGCTTCCATCTTGGTTTTACCCTCTTATGTTGACACCAAAACATGCAAAATCCTACGAAATGATGACGTTTCACTGTCTTTCATCACTACTCTCTCAATCAAGAAACAAATTTATCCCTTTTTCACTTTTACCCTACTCATCACTGCAATAAATACTCATCTCTGTGAAACTGTCCTCACTTATCGTTACATACAATAATACATGAGTCATACATCAACGTAGTTATAATGCTCGTATAATCAGCAAGATATATACCGTCTACAAAAAGATTCCGTTAATTCTTACGAATCACGTAATTTTGTAGACATCATGGATTAACATGTTATCTTATTCGGTGAGTTGAAAGGGAAAACAAAAATACGTACTATTTCTTGATTATGTATATCATGCTTTACGATTATTACAGATCGGGATTTCTTCACTAACTTTATTACATATAGAGCTTTGGGACTTTACTATAGCCTTCGATTTGTTGTTCCCTTTTTCCTCTCTCTCGAAAGATCTATGAAGAATCTATGTGACAGCACAATGGGAACAAAATATGAGTAATAAATAAATAAAACTTAAACTCTAAAGGACCACAGACATATATACATACACATGTCTAAAAGATATGAATATGATTGGTTAATCTCTGCATGGTAGTGGTCAAGCTGTCTCTTAGTCCATTGTATGTTGATATGAATCGGATATTGGATGCAAATGGTTACGGATTGCGATGTACCGGTCATCTGATATTGTAAAACATAATACTTATTCGAAATTGAGTTTTATTGGCTAGTATAGTAGAATAGTGAATCGTATATTTTCAGGATTCGAAAGTTAGCGTAGATACAAAATTCTCTATTGTCAACAAAATGAAGTTAGCGTAGATACATCCATTTGATTTTTTTTTCTGCACCATGCATGGATGTGAGCACTAATTTAATATATTAGAATAATAGATTTGAATAGTGGAAATCAAATTATTTATTTTTGAAAGGGGTGAGATACCAAAATTGAGATAGTCTGCCTCCCATGGCAAGGTAGCAAAACAATCTTGTTCATGTCCCAAACATCATCTATGCTCCTTGGTCCACTAACAACCCAAATTATATTAGTGATTAAATTAATCCAATTATTTTCACTCAATCTAGTAAATAATTTAAATACTCACTCAATAGAAAATTATATTGTTGTTTGGTTATTGTGATTAAAAAAAAACAAAAATCGTCCCACGTGAGATCCCACAAAGGTCCCAACATCACCACAGAGAGTCTCTGATCATTGCAATATCCTTAAGATTAGATTTATATAGACATTTCTTATAATATCTTCTTGGGCAAGTGCTCTGTATTCTTCTGACACATTTCTATCATCTTACCTTTTTTTTAATTATTCTTTTGTTTTCTCTTTGAAATATTGAAGAAAAATGAACTTTTCTTTTCCTTGTATTATCTTTTCTTCAATGCTTTTTTCCTCTTCTTCTCCTCTATCTCTCTTTTTTATTTCGGATAAATTCTCATGTTCTCTGTGACAGGATAAAGTTCATGCACCCTTCTTTCTTTTTATTGGTGTTATGTAATCTAGTTATATCTTATATTATTCTCTTATATATAATAAAATGCATGGAAACTTAAATGTGGCAAATATGGGAACACTTAAGCATTAGAGGTCGTCCAATTAGCGGCATTATAAAGGTTACCATTGAACTAGTAGAATCCTATTAAAACTAAATCGATTATATCTTTTTTTAAATGCTTCGAGATGCAAATAAAAGTCAAAATATAGAACTTAGAAGCTTGGTAGGAACGTCCTAAAAAAAGAAAATGTAGATGTACTCATCTAAGCAAGTCGAAAAAGAAAAAAAAATGTAAGTAGATCCGGGAAAGAATGGGGACAAGCAAATAGGTGAGATGATAAAGACTTTAATTTTTCTTGAGTATATATAATAGTATGCTTTAAAATGAGTAGGTGTTAAGAATGAAGATCCCATTATTTTATTTTATTTTTCTATATTTTTAACTTATTCCTCTTTCTATTTTTTTTTTGGGTTGTTTGGTATTTTGGTGCATTCTTTGACTCCTCGCACCTATGTCTCTTGTGCTATGTTAAATGTACTCATTTATAATTCCCCCGGTGCACCTCACACGACATATGAAAAACAAAAATATGACATATAATATAATGTTTTTATTTTGATGATAGTGGATATTTAAATATGAACCTCTAGTTTGATCAAAGTAAAGATATATGTTGACACTTTGGGTTGAAAATACAATCAGTGGGCTGTTTTTTTTCCAATGTATTCGAACACTATTTAATGGGTTTCTAGCTTATATTTAAAGCCCATTATGTTCATAGGAAAGCTTACCTAAGTTTTATTCACGGCCTAATTATATTTAAAGGCCACTATGCTCATAAGGAAAGCTTGCCTAACTTATATACACGGTTACTGTTAATAATTTGGTTTTTCGGAAAGTTTTATTTTTCATATATTCGGAAAGTTTTATTTTTCATATACTGTAACTATGATTATCAAACCCACGTGAAACAATTCATATTCCAAAACCAAACTTATAGATGTCCTTTACAAAAGAAATCCAAATTTCGTTTTCCCACAACTCCAAGTATTCCAAATATACGATACGGTCCTTTTTTTTTCTTTCTTTTTTGCCATCTACGATACAGTCCATTATAAATTACAACCCTCACACATTCATGTACACATAGATTTATACGTAAATAATATAGCATTCAGATTACAACATGATTAGCAGCGACGACACAGACGAAGAGTTTCCTAAAGGATATCTAATTCTTAGACCGGAAGAGCTCCGGCCATTGGAACTTCTCCGTCTGTTATTCTCCGGCGATATCGAGAAACCAAGATCAGTCGATAGCTCCGAAACCAAAGAACCAAGTTTTCGACGCCGATGGCTTATCTTCGTCTCTCTCGTCCTCCTCAAGCTTCTCCGATTCCTCTCCGACCCTTTAGCTCTCTTTGGCTCCGCCTTAGAATTCTCCTTAAACTTCCTCTCCGATAACTCTTTCTCAGCCTTCTTCTTCCGAGGTCTTAACAAATTTCCTCCTTCTTTAGTGACACAATATACATTTATTCTATTTCAGATGTGAGTATTTATTTATCTCAACTTGTGGACATACATGTCTATGCAGGAGAAGTGGTGATGCCGAAAACGACGTCGGAGAATTACCTATCATTTATCGGACATTTAGACAAGAGAATAAGTTTAGACAAGACGAAAAATCGTGAAGATGGAGACTTATACTATGCCGCACTGTCCATTATGTCTTCGAAACTTGCCTACGAAAACTCGGCTCGTATCAAATACGTCGTACAAAATCATTGGAATATGAAGTACTTAGGTCTTGATGACTATTGGAACGGTATGCATTCAATTCAATTAGTCACATTAGTTAGTTAACCAATCTTTTAACGTTTTGATTTATTTCTTGTATTTTCAAGAGTATCAAGAGAAGGAAACGACGCAAGCTTTTATGATGTCTACTGATCAAGAAACAACGGTTGTGGTTGCATTTAGGGGAACAGAGCCATTTAATTCAGAAGATTGGTGTTCAGATTTTGACATCACATGGTACGAGCTCCCAAACATTGGGAGGATCCACGGTGGTTTCATGAAAGCTCTAGGGCTTCAAAACAATTGCAGTTGGCCAAAGAAACCTCTCCCAAACCCTAATCGATTGTCTCCTTTGGCTTACTACTCAATAAGAGACACTTTGAAAGCTCTGGCCGCTCAAAATGAACATACTCAATTTGTTCTGACCGGTCATAGCTTAGGAGGAGCCCTCGCGATATTGTTCGCGGCTGTGCTTGTGATTCACGATGAGACCGAGTTGTTGAAAAGGATCCAAGGGATTTACACTTATGGACAACCTAGGGTTGGAGATTCGATGTTTGGTGAATTTATGGAGAAAAAACTAAAAGAATATGATATTAAGTACTATAGATTTGTTTATAATAACGACATTGTTCCGAGATTACCGTACGATGATAAGGATTTGATGTTCAAACACTTTGGTACTTGCATCTACTACGACCATCACTATCAAGCAAAGGTATATATAACTAATCCATCATACTCCGTTATTAAATTATCGGTAGAAAATACAATTAAAGATTCATTTTTCTGATTTTCTTTTTTTTAATAATGTTTTTATAGGTTTTGAGAGATGAATCAGATAAAAACTTTTTCTCATTATGGGGGATTATAAGGATGATTTACAATGCGGTGTTGGAGTTTATAAGAAGCTTCACGATTGTGACTGAGAAGGGATCAGAATATAGCGAAGGATGGTTGTTGAAGGTTGCTAGGGTTTTGGGGATCATAGTCCCTGGAATTTCGAATCACACACCTCAAGATTATGTAAATGCCACTAGATTAAGCCCTCCTATTGTTTTCCAAGTTCATAGAGATGTATCCATAACATAAAGGGTTTCGAGGTTTGTGTCACATCTCTCTATGAACTTGGATTATTGCATAAAAAAAAGGTTAATATCTATGTAAACATTTTACAAGGAAAAATCTATAAAACTTAAAAGTGAGAGAAAACCTGTTGAAAGAAAAATGTAAAGAGTTAATAAATCAAATGAATCAGGTATATGCCTAAATTTAAAATAAATTATCGCACAAATATGTAAAGAAATTAAAAAAAACTCAGATACTATACGTGTAAATAAAGAAAAATATCTGAACTAGTGTAAATAAGTGAAATAGCTGATCCACATGTAATTAACCAAGAAACTTCTCAGTAATTAACCAGAAATGTTAGGTAGTTGTGTAAATAACTAAAACTATCAGATACATGATCAATAACTGAAAGTATCAGGAATATGTGTGTTGTTCAAAAAAAAATCGGGAATATGTGTAATAACTTAAAGTATCGGGTAACAAATACAATATCTCAACTCGGGTTTGCCGGACCGACCATACAAAATCTCCCGTTGGTATCCATTTTAATGGGCTTGGCCACTTGGGTTTAGTTTAAAAAGCAATTTAGTTTTGGGCCGTTAATGAGTAATTAATTGGGATGATGTAAATAAAAGTCACAAATTATTAATAATTATTTTGGTCGACATAACACAGTTGGATCTATGATCAGTTTATTTATTCATGATAAAAATCGGAAGACGTAAACCCAGGAAAAAATAAAAAAGAAATTAGTGGCTTAAATTGCGATATGAAGGAAAATTTTCAAAAATGAGATTTATCCATTCACAATCCTTAAAAATCCCACCGCATGCTCTTATAACGTCACATTCAAATAATTTTTACGCAACATAATGTTGTGAATTGTTTTTTTTAATAAAGTTTATTACTTGCATTTCTAGTGGCGGAGAGCGAACAGATGTCAACATCTGAAGCGATATTTTTAATTTTTTAGGCAGTGAGCGGATGAAGTGTGAAGCGGAGGTGATGCCACCTGTCTTCTCCTTCTCCATCATTTGCTTCTTCTTCTTCTTCTTCTCCTCCAAATCCTTTCTCCTCTCTTGTCTCGAGTCAGAGGCGCATTACATAGAAAATTTTGGTTCCCACCCACTGAGTATTTTGTTGATTTTGATTATACTTTCAACGGAGTGTACTCTTCTCGCCGCGCAAAAATCGAAATGGGTTCAACTCCGTTTTGCTATTCAATCAACCCAAATCCATCAAAGCTTGATTTCACGAGGACCCATGTGTTTAGTCCCGCTGCCAAACAGTTCTATTTAGATTTATCATCGTTTGCCGGCAAAACAGGGGGAGGATTATCGGGGATTAGGAGTCGTCGAGCTTTGGTCGGAGTAAAGGCGGAGACGGCGTTGGTGGAGGGTGAGAAGCGGGAGACGGTGACGGAGAAGAAGAAATCGAGGGTTTTGGTGGCCGGAGGTGGAATCGGAGGTTTGGTGTTTGCTCTTGCGGCGAAGAAGAAAGGGTTCGATGTGTTGGTGTTCGAGAAGGATTTGAGCGCCATAAGAGGAGAAGGACAGTACAGAGGTCCGATTCAAATACAGAGCAACGCTTTGGCTGCTTTGGAAGCCATTGACACTGCTGTCGCAGAAGAAGTTATGGAAGCCGGTTGCATCACTGGTGATCGTATTAACGGTCTCGTCGACGGTGTCTCTGGTACTTGGTGAGTTTATCTTCAGTCACATTGAGTAACCAATTTCAAAGAAATTTCTTAGTAAATGGATCAGTGAACCACTCTGCTTGGATGTTTTGCTGCTTGAATTGTTCTTATCTTGTGTTTAATTGCTTAGGACTCGTGAAGTAATAACCCTTTGATTTCATTGTCAGGTATATATAGATTGAGAAATTTGATGACTATGGATTGTGATAAACATTGGAAAATTCATGGTGATGATGATGTTTTTTGTTGTAAATCAATCAGGTACGTCAAGTTTGATACTTTCACACCTGCGGCCTCACGGGGACTTCCTGTGACTCGGGTGATTAGCAGAATGACTCTGCAGCAGATCTTAGCACGTGCGGTTGGAGAAGAAGTGATTCGAAACGAGAGTAATGTTGTTGATTTTGAAGACTCTGGAGATAAGGTCATGATTGTTATTTTACTTAAAAGACTATTATTGATTTGCCAAACTGTTTTGAGGAAAAAGTTTACAATGAAGCTGGATGGGTTTGTTGGTTTAGGTCACTGTGGTGCTCGAGAATGGTCAACGCTATGAAGGTGATCTGCTTGTGGGTGCAGATGGCATCTGGTCTAAAGTACGTTTTAAGTGAACAGAGTTTAACGAATAGCTTCTATTGCCTATGATAAAAACTTAAAGATCCTGCCTTTTTGCTATTTTTTGTTTGTAGGTGAGAAATAATTTATTCGGTCGAAGTGAAGCCACTTATTCAGGCTATACTTGTTACACCGGCATTGCAGATTTTGTACCGGCTGATATTGAATCCGTCGGGTAAATTTCAGAATGTCTCATGCTTCTCTTCTTCTCTGTTTTTACAACTGCGTTATGAAAATGTTTCTGATGTTGCAACTGTGTTCCCTCTTGAAAAAAGCTACCGGGTCTTCCTGGGACACAAACAGTACTTTGTTTCTTCGGATGTTGGTGGTGGAAAAATGCAATGGTACGCATTCCACGAGGAGCCAGCTGGTGGGGTTGATGCTCCCAATGGTAAGATCCTATGCACTGATTGATTTGTTTCTATGGTTTGCGTTTAGTATTAGCAAATCACATAAGCTGCTTCTTTTGATTTGGTGTTGCAGGTATGAAGAAGAGATTGTTTGATATATTCGAAGGCTGGTGCGACAATGTGCTGGACTTATTGCATGCCACAGAGGAGGATGCGATTCTCAGAAGAGATATCTATGATAGGTCTCCTAGTTTTACTTGGGGTAAAGGGCGTGTTACGCTGCTCGGAGATTCTATTCATGCGATGCAGCCAAATATGGGTCAAGGTGGATGCATGGCCATTGAGGTATCTTTCCATCTGTATGAATCAATTCAACAGTTGGCTTGATTTCAAAAAGTGGTGTTGAGTGGAATGTTTCAATTGGGTTTGCAGGATAGTTATCAACTTGCATTGGAGCTTGAAGGAGCATGGAAACAGAGTGTTGAAACTAATACACCTGTTGATGTTGTTTCCTCTTTGAAAAGGTAAAACTCAAAACACAAATTTGCTTAGTTTAGAAGACACCTGATGGAGACTAAACATGTTCTCGAATTGGTTTAGATACGAGGAATCTAGAAGGCTCAGAGTCGCTATTATCCATGGAATGGCGAGAATGGCTGCAATTATGGCTTCCACTTACAAAGCATACTTAGGTGTTGGGCTTGGTCCTCTGTCTGTGAGTATTCTTGTAGTGTTTAGTGATAGACATGCAAAAGCATAAACTTTTGTTGCTCGTATGACGTCAAAAGCCCAATTCTTATATCTTTCTTCTGCAGTTCTTGACCAAATTTAGAGTACCGCATCCCGGAAGAGTTGGCGGAAGATTCTTCATTGACATTGCTATGCCTTTGATGCTGAACTGGGTCCTTGGAGGTAACAGGTTAGATCTTTCTCTGTGTTCAACTACATAGACCTTGAAATGTTTATGGATTTCAGTAACAGTCCGGACCTAAAGCCAATTCATTTACATGATTTTGTAGTGAAAAACTCGAAGGAAGGCCACCTAGTTGCAGACTCACTGACAAAGTATGACTCTTTCTTTCTCCATTGCACTCAAACAAATTTATATAGTGACTAGTACCAAACTGTAACTCTTTGTTTGAAGGCTGACGACCGCCTTCGTGAGTGGTTTGAAGACGACGACGCTCTTGAACGTACTATAAATGGAGAGTATGTACCACGAATCCCTCAAGTCGACGTTAAACTTCCATATATTTCTTCACCTACCAAAAACCAGATTTGCTCTCTCTCTCTCTGTTGGTCTGAGTCTGTATTTCTTTGCAGGTGGTATCTTATTCCATATGGCAACGAGTGTAGCATTTCGGAAACATTATGTCTAACGAAAGATGAGGATCAACCTTGCATTATCGGGTATGGATGAAACTGTCGCTCAACAATGTCTTTTAGCTTCAATTTCACAATTCTGAACAATTTATAATTAATGATTGCTGAGATATTAAGTATAAAGTTCTTAAAGTTTGAAACTTGAGAAACTTTTTTTGTTTGCAGAAGTGAGCCAGACCAAGATTTTCCTGGAATGCACATTGTGATCCCTTCCCCTCAGGTAAATAGATAAACTCTGTATCTAATAGTGACTTGAGAAGCTTGAGAGACTAGTCAAGAAACATAAAATTTCTGTCAAATCATTGTTGGTTCAGGTTTCGAAGATGCATGCGCGTGTAACCTACAAAGATGGGGCTTTCTTCTTGATGGATCTCCGAAGCGAACACGGGACCTTTGTGACCGAGTAAGTCAATACAGCTTTGGTTAAATCTCTTGAGTCTCTGACAGTATCTGATCAAGAATTTGATTTTTGGTTTACCAGTAACGAAGGAAGGAGATACAGAGTGACACCGAATTTACCAGCGCGGTTTAGATCGTCCGATATCATCGAGTTTGGTTCAGATAAGAAGGTAAGACCGAACCCTTTGTGGGTTTAACCGAACCGTAAACTGGTTTTGGTTCTGAATCTTTTATGTTTGGTTCTTATCAGGCGGCACTTAGGGTGAAGGTGATCAGGACAACTCCAAAATCAACGAGTAAGAATCAGGAGGGTAACGGTAAATTGCTTCAGGCAGCTTAAAAATAAGCAACCGACGGTGAAAGTAAAATAAAATATTTTACCAGTTTGGCAGATAATTTGTGTAGTAACTTTATCCTCCATTCCTCGCATTGCAGTGTATATACAGGCTGAAACACAAGATAATTTATACAAAACGTTACTCTTTTATCTGCTTTTCGGATTAAACTTCTTATTTTCAAATAAATTGTTTTGACTACTGAAAAAGTAAGGATTTAGAATAATTAATTTTTCTTTGTTCTAACGAATCCAAGAAAAAGTTGAATATATTTTCCACACAAACAAAATAAATAAAAATCAATAACTGACACTTTCGTCACTCTAAAAAGTAAAATCAAGAGAGTTGGCTTCTTCAAACATTTTCCTTTTCACAAGCAAATTCCCAATCACACGGACTCTTTGACTTTCCCAGGTTGAGA